TTAACAATATGGTCCTTAAGTATGGTCCGAGAAAGTATAAAATTCTTAATCCTTAGGTATTGAAAAAGATCTCTTGGGGGGAGATTAAACTTTTCTTGCAATTGTGTAAATGGGATGGGTTTAGATCCATCCCATAAATCCGAGATCTTCTTTAGACCTAGATGTATCCAAGATTGAACATTTATATTATCCATTATATATTGTATGACCGCTAATGGAACTCTATATAATAACTTATCTTCCAACTTCAATTTTTTGTTTAGAATTCTAGAAGTATTGACCATATCTATCAATATTCGGTTCGAAAAATTTTTGGTATCCAATTCACCCAAATGTAATAAACCCATCCAAAAAAGAACAAACAATTTATTTCTAGGGCTATCCTCCTGTTCTAAGGTAAACCATGATATAGATCCCTGTTCCCTATCTAGCCACTGTAACAGATGAGTCGCCATACATGCTTCATGAATTTTATCAACATCTGGAAATGCTATACCACCCTTCTGATAGCTCCTTCGGAGAGTGTCGAAAGCTATCCTAGGTGGTTTATTTGCCCAAATACATTTGGAAATCAGAGTTTGGAAACGGTTAAGAGTACCTTTCCCCAGTCTATAAGGAATCGCCCTAAAATAATACATAAGTTTAGGTATCAAAAAAGCCTTAATCATATTTAATCTTCCTATCCATGAGGACTCAATCTTCCTCCAATTGTCTACCAGTTGTTGCAAGTCTCTTAATAATGTATTATAATTTATTTGTATCATCCTCTCTATATCAAAGGATATTTTGATCCCCAAATAACCAATAGTATCTTTTGCCCATGAAAATTGGAAATGTGCAGCCAAAAGATCTTTCTGGGCCTCAGATAAAAAAGAGGCTAAGATTTGAGTTTTTTTCATATTGATCTTATAGTTGGAGAAGCTACTATAGTTGGATATAGCATCCAGTACCGATGGAATTGAAACCATCGGGTCCGTCAAGGTAAGGAGGACATCATCTGCGAAAAGGGAAATCTTAGTTTCCCCATTGTGAGATTTGACCCCCTTTATATTAGTATCCTGTCTGATCAAGGTGGCCAAAGGTTCAATTGTAAGAATATATAACAGGGGAGCCAAAGGGCAACCCTGTCTAGTACCATTTTTGACCTCAAAATGGTCAGACTCAACAAGAGGGTTGATTATTTTAGCTGTAGAATTCCTATATAGCAACATAGTTTTATGTCTAAACTGACCCTCTAAGCCAAAATGGCCCATGACAGAGTCCAGGAATCTCCAATTGACTCTGTCAAAGGCCTTCTCAGCGTCGAGGGCCATAATAACAGATCCCCATTTATGCTCATTTATTCTATGTATTAAGTTAAATGTCCTACGCGTGTTATCAGTAGTACCTCTCCCTCGCACAAATCCAGACTGATCAACATCAATCAAATCTCCAATTACCACTTTGAGTCTGTTAGATAATATTTGAGAGAATATCTTTATATCTAAGTTAATGAGAGATATAGGTCTATAATTAGTTATAAGTGTTAGATCTTTCCCTACTTTGGGTATAGGAATGATTGAAGCCAATAGCATCTCATTGGGGAAAGAGGTATCCACGGACGCCTTCGTAAACATCTCTAAAAGAATAGGGTTCTGAGTCTTGAAAAGGTTTTATAAAACATTGTTGAAAAACCATCTGGACCTGGAGCCTTGTTCAATTTTAACTTATCTATTACTTCGGTTACTTCTGATAGTAAGAATGGGGCATTCAACGATTCCAACTTCCTTTGGTTAATCTTTGGTAATTTAAGGTTCCTCAGAAATGTATCCATTTCTTCTCTACTCCTCCCTACCTCCTTTAGATTATATAAAGATTTATAAAATTCCGCAAATGCATTTGCAATATCATTTGGTGACACTAAATGTTTGTCACCTAAAACAATTTTTTTAATAAATTTATCTTTGAGATTATTTTTAATTTTATTAGAGAGATCTTTATTTATTTTATTATTATTATGGTACCATCTTTGTTTAAGGAATAGTATATTTTTATTAACCAAATCATAAATTCTATCTTTGATAGTTTCCCTTAATTTAGCTATTTCTTCGATTAAATCTTTATTCACCATATTTTTATTTAGACGTTCCTTGTTTGCCAATTTTATTCTTAATTCCTGCAAAGATTCTCCCTTTTTCCTTTTAGATTCTGAGCCAAGTTTAATCAATAATCCCCTTATAAAGCTTTTAAAGGTACACCATACCGTTGCCGTAGAAACTTCCCCATTATCATTGGTGATCAAAAAGTTTTCAATTTCAGATGACAAAAAGTCAATATTGCACTCTGATTTCAAGAGGCTTTCATTAAGTCTCCACCTTGTCCTTGGTCTAAGACCACCTTTTAACTTAACCTTAATGAGTACTGGTGCATGATCTGATACAACTATGGATCCTATATTGGATTTAATAATTGAACTCAGAAACCCCGCTTTCACCAGAAGCATATCTATTCGGGAGTAAGTCTGGTGAACATGTGAAAAGAAAGTATAATCTCTCTCACTAGGATTCAAAGTCCTCCAACAATCAAATAGGGAATTCCTATCTAGAAATTTAGAAAAATCAGAAACATAGGTATTTGCAAATTTATAATCTCTAGCATTTTTATGGCTTTTATCCCGTACTGGATCCAATACACAATTGAAGTCTCCCCCAATTATGATATTACCACATGCTAATTCATCAACCTTTTCCATCATTTTATCCAAAAAATCTCCTGGGCACGAATTTGGTGCATAAACATTAGCCAAAGTATATATAATACCATTAATTTTTGCAATGAGTATCACATATCTTCCCATTGGATCCCCAGTTAGATGTATCATTTCAAAATTAATTCTGCTAGAGACAATAATTGCAGTACCTCTTTTTTTTTTATTCCCCTCCATATTGGAGGAAAATATCAGCGGGAATTTCTTAAACTTCCAAAGTTTCTCTGGGGAATTAATCCAATGTGTCTCCTGAATAAAAGCAATATCGATGACATTATCATTTAAAAATTTATAGACCGCTCCCCTTTTCTGTGGTGAGTTCAAACCCTGGACGTTCCAAGATATCACATTAAGTGCCATCATAACATCTATTGTCCTGATTACCCCCCAAATCGAGTCTCAGAGAAACAAAAGAAAAAAAATGGAAAAAACAATAGCAAACAGAAAAATACACATTTACATTATAAAAAACATAAAACATAAAAAATATTTCAAAAGGGGGAACAAACCACCTCTTGATAATCCAGTGGGGAAACACACACATATATATGTACATATATATATGCACACACATGTATATGTAGCCCCCTGAACAAGACCTGCCTATAATTGCAGGAAGAGAAACCCCGGCAGGAGGAGGAAGAACTCAAAACTCTTCAAAACCAAACGGCATTTCCAATATCCAGCCCATAGTCGATCAGATGGCATTTCGCAATACCATCTACTTCGACTGGAATATATGACCACATTGATCGCTAAAACCATATCCCAATAGGTTACCAATCTAACATTTTTTGTTGTTCCCTTTTCCCTTTTTTTTCTTTTCTTTTCCCTCTTCCCTAACTGCTATCCATTATACTGGTACTAATCTCCCTCCCCTCTCCCTTCCCCCAGTCATTATAGTTCCAAAATATAATAGGAGAGATAAACCGTGTCCCAAGACAAAGCAAAATAGGGAGACGTATAAACTTATATCTACCTAAGCAGACCTATCTATAATTAAAAAAAAAAAAAAAAGGAAAACACTTCATCAGAGACCAAGCCGGTATACAAAATTGTGTTAATTTAAAAACCCATATTGCAATAAATTGCTATTCTGAGTCTAATCAACATATCCCCCCAACTCTTAAATAGGATAATACAAATCCTCCTCCTCTTTCCCTTTCTTTAGCCATTCTATCTACGTATTACCTAAATAAATATATACACGTGGTCTGACTCCCCCTCTATTGTGATCTAGATCAACGTTACCTCTTGTATATTATCTTACTATTACCAATTCGCTTCACCTACTTTACCCCTTTAAGACCCGTAAATAACCAAAGCTGTTTCATATGTGAATATACCCATACTATGAAATTATACTACCACTCATATATATAACCTACTTCCATTCTTTTAGTGCTAGATAATATCAAATTGTGATTATTGTGATCAAAGTTTATATTACTACAAAGATACAAATACAAATCTCCAAACTTCCTCACTATCAAACTTCATAGTTGGAGAAGGGAATTAATAATATCTCACTGTGCCAATTGTGTTCTAAACACTTTTGATACAAAATATGTGAAAAATATGTGAATAAAATTTACATATATTCTTTATACCACTCTTATATTTTCCAATATGCCGCCTTCAATTACAAATCAAGGATATAGCATAAAAAGTTTCCAATCACCTATATAAGTAATTATATCGAACAGAAGAGAA